CYMGATCTCCACTGGCTGCAATGCGTGGAAGTGCTGGTGCACTTGTGCGCTGAGTCAGGAGGAGCAGCGCTGGAGGAGAAGATGYGYTGGAGGGAGGAAGAAGCCTGTACGCTGGGAGTGATGCAGCCATAGCTGCCCAGCGAGTTAGCATTAGTAGTAGAGGGTTAGTATGTAGCTATGAGTAGTATCCAGAGTACATCCTCATGAGTATTGAAGAGTGTGTATGCATCATAGGAGGAAGGGATTGAGGCTGAGAGTGTTCATTCAAGGTTTGGCTATGGAAGATACTTACCTGAGTTGGATGTGACCTGCAGAGGTGGTGCTGACGAGTAGTGACCACATTGATGACTTGGAGACTATCTGCAGGGGTAGCGCTGATTCACTGGAAGTCATATTGATGAGATGGCAAGATATTGGTGTTGCACTGATGAGCGCTGGACTCAGGGGAACTTTGAAACACTTTGTATTCATATTTCTGATAATATAAGYTGTGAAACTCGGTCCTCATCTTCTCTATCTTTATCTATTGTGAGAACTACTGTTGATTGTGTGTGGGTGTACGATGCATGGCATGTACACACTTGCGTGAGATGGTCCCCAGGACCCATGCAATTTTGGTATCGGAGCAGATGCTCGCTACACTCATAGCGCTGGTCTGATAAAGGCCGGCGAGAAGAAGTGGTGATGGAGGAAGAGTGACGGAGGGAGGAAGAGAAGAGTTTTGTTAGTGGGGGAAGCAGGTCGAAGAAGAAGTGACGAAGTTACTTACCTGGAGCGTGCGGAGCGTCGTGGRGCATCATCGGCGGTATCTTCAAGAAGAGAGAAGCACCTCCTTTCCCTGAACCTGCATGCATGTGTGTGTCCCCTACCTTCTCTCTCTCTGAAGGTGACTGTTGCTGATCTGGTCAGGAGTCGAAGTCTGGATCTGGGTGTCATAGCTGTCAGGTCTGAGCCGTCAGAGTCTGATGACCCAAGTGTCATGTATCAGGAACTGGTCACACTAGAGTAGGTGGTCCAGTGTCCTGCGAATAGGAGTAGGTCTCTCTCCTGCCCCTCTTAATAGGCAGGCTGGGTATCGTCACCAAGAACCCAAGATCGATGTGGGGAGTGGCAATGTGCCACATCAGATAGCATGAACCAGGCAGTATAAGGACGATATCGAGTATCTACAGGGCCTGTTAAGCCCGAAAGAAAGAACAGGGTATACGAAGTATCTCTGCCTGGTTCAATAAGGGAACCAATTGCATCTGACCTTCTGCGCTATACTCCATATCTGCACCCAGCAACCAGCCAAGTTAGGACCAAAAAAAAAAAAAAAAAAAAAAAAGCAAGACAACAGAAACACATTACCAAAAGTTCGATCCCGGAGGCCAGACAGCACATCAAAAAATAAAAATAAAAAAAAATAGACATTCAAAGTTCATTCCAGGATGAGCTATTGTTGATAGTACGCAGCACCTTCTACAATCGAAAAGGGAAAGAGGCAGTATAGTCCTCCATTACCGCAAGTCAAAACTAAGTTTGTAAGTGGGATAGTATCTTGGTGATCCGGCGGAGGGTCTCCTGTGCCGGCATCCAGGGCCTGTTGGCTCTTTCTGTCTTGTTGGGGCCGCTGTTCCGGCTTATGCTGGGGTTCGGGCGTGTGTGCACGTCCCGCATGCTGATGCGGTCCGGAGCAGTGAAGCCTGGCCCTACACCTGCGGAGCAGGCAGAGATTGACTGCAAGATGGCAGAAAAGAAAAAGGAGAGAAGCAAAAAAGAAACAGAAAGAAGAAGAAGCAAGAAAGAAGATGAAAGAGAAGATGGACAGGGAATTAGAAGAAGAATTGAAAAGTGTAGAAGAAGAAGAAGAAGAACAGGAAGAAGGAGAAGTTTTGGAAAGACGTCGTCGCCAAAGACATACCTGAAAGCAGCACAACTACCTGCCTTCCCGTTGAACCGCTGGACCGGGGCAGCCGGTACTACTACTCCAGCGAGCCGTTAAAAGAATCTGATGAAGAACGGGATACGTTCATCGCCAAGTTGGCCACTATTAAAGACACCGTGGAACAAAACCTGATGTTGGAAGAGAAACGGGCTGAGCTAAATCGCAGGCTGCTGGCCGCTAGACGGCAAGAGGTGGAAGAAAAAAAGAGATTGCGGGCAGAAGGGGATAAATTGCAAAAAGCGCTAGAAGCACAAAAGGAAAACCCCTCCGCAACTGAAGCACAGCTTGCACTCCTCAAGGAGGCCATCCTCAACACGAGGCAAAACATGGACTTAATGCAAACTTTACAACGTGTCAAAACACATCGGGTTGAATTTGAGAATGTCTGGAATAACTTCGTAGAGAAGTCAGCCAAGGACGTTGACCAACATGTGCAAACTTACATCCAGGTTTTTGATGACCACGTTAGTAAAACATTCACCCCCGAAGTTATAGAAAAGATCATGAAAGCAGTAGGAGGCGGCAGAGGAGATGGAGATGGCGACAACGATGATGACAAAAAAGGGAAGAAAAAGATTCGGGATCCAACAGGCAAACCTTCTCAGGAGGCCGGGCAGGTTAACAAAATAAAGCACATACTGCCCTGGACCTACAACGGAAAGAAAGAAGAGTGTGTTGCATTGGGCGGCGGTAATTGAAACGTATGTATACGGACGGCGTATTCCCTATTGGGACAGGGTATTAATGGCAACATCGTGCATGGGAGGCGACGCCATGAGCTTTGCCATCTCGCTGCAAAAGGAAGCGGGATGCAGTTCTATGGTAGAGTATTCGCAACAAACGCGAATCGAAGATTCTCTTAAGTTGATCCGAGAAAGATTTGAGGATAAGAACTTGGCAACATGAACAGAAATGTTGATCCTCAGCCTTCCTGACAGGAAATGGAAGAGTACCTCTGCACTAAAAGCAACCATGGACGAACTATTGCAATGCCCTAATCACGGATTGATGCCCGCCCAGATCTTGAACAGTTTTGCACGAACACTCCCGGACCCCCTAAGAACACAACTTTATCCTCGTACCAAGGAAGAGGGGATAACATATGAGAAGTTCGAATCGCCATTGATCATGCCGGCTTCCTCGCTGAAGCAAATTATTGCCATCACTGGAAGGATCTGCAAGCGGGTAAGAGATGGCGAAACCGCACTATCTCAGGGTCTATACCTGGGAAAGATAGTCTCTTTCTAACCTTTGAGGAAGAAGGCGCCGAGACCATCTCCTGGGATCAGGTAGATTATGGTCTCGATGAACCCAACAGACCGGTAGCTCAGGAGGGGAGTTACGCAGTTGTTGCAGCCCGCGGGGGAGGGCGTCAAGGAAGAGGACGTGGCCGAGGAAGCGGTCGCGGTCGTGGTGGACGAGGATTCAGCACCCAGAGGGGTGGTGGTGAAGGAAGCCACTACGTGAGAGGAAGGCCACCGTGGTTCTTACTCCATCTGGAAGCGGGATGGACTCACTCGAAGCCAGCCTTAAGTAGCAATTGTCGAGGCTGTCTGGCCTCAGGTGATTTCCCCAGTCATCCAGATGGACTCACAGCTGAGGGTCCAGATTGTGCAGTTGCACACTTCTCCCTTGGACCTGATGCTGTCTGGGTACCTGCATACAAACAAGTGTGTGCTTGACCAGCGGCCTGGGGCAGGTACCTTCGGACTTGACTGTTGGGATCATGACATTTGACCAAAGTCAACTATCTCACGTCCAGGCCCCGAGCCCTCGTATGAGGTCCCTTTTTGCCCCCGTTTTGCCTGGGCTGAGGGCGGCCGAGTTTGCCTTCAGTCTTTCCACGAGAGATATAGCATGGGTTATTGCAGAATTGCCACTGTCACAGCAAAGAAATTCCTTTTCTTTGTATTTTTTTCTGTTTTTATTTTCTTCTGTTTTTATTTTCTTCTGTTTTTGTTTCTTTTCTTTTCTTCAGCAATTCGTTTTTTTTATTTTTCTTTGCTTTCTTCTTTCTTCACCTCTATCTGTCCCAAAATTAGTGTTGCTCCTGATCTGCTTGATTCTATTGGCCAGTCAGGAAGAGGAACCCCCACCATGGCAGATAGAACAGGCACGCTGAGGATGCCGTCAATGTTCACAAGGATACACAAGAACAGCACAAGCATTCAGCAGGACAGCAGGTAGGGAGAATATATCTATTATGTACAGGGTGACCAGCGTTCGTGACGGGCCAAACGTGCGAACCGAACACGCCAGAACGTACGGGACACCTTGGGGCGTGCGTTCGGCCGTTCATGCCAAACGCAGACCCAAAAAAAAGAAAAAAGATCTGAAAAAACAATATGTTATAGGAAAAATAAAATAAACAACATTTGCCTGAGCATTACATCCAAATTTCTTAACACTGTAAGATAAAAATAAAAACCGAAAAATAAATACTGAACAAAAATAAGAAAAAATAAAAATAGAGTTAAAATCAGTAACTGCACGCGAACGTTTTTAACAACGCCATCTTTGGCAATTATTCTTTTTTCTTTGGAATCGCCAAATGTCCTGAAAATTTACACATGTGCACTTCACATAATACAAAACTCGTTAAAAATATTTCAAAAAAATAATAACATTTTTAGGCCCAGAAATAAGGTGAAAACAAAACGTGAAAAGCGAAAAGAAATAAAAAAAAGAGTGGGCGAGCACGTTTTGACAGGCGATTTTGAATTTTGTTTTGGCTTAGCAAAACGAGTTCAAATTTTGTAGGCCTGTACCTCACATCACAGAGAACTCGCAAAAAAGAAAAGATATTTTTAGGGCCCGAAATAAATTTTGGCAAGGACCGAACGCCTTAAGGTTCGTACGGAGGTCGGCCTGGGGACCTCCGTACGGGCTGGATACCCTGTATATGCATATATATATCATAAATGGGAAGGTGGCATAAAATTGAAACCTCAGCCAGAAGAGCCTCTGCTGTAACAATAAAGCAACTCCTGTCTAACACAGACTCCGATGACTGGTAGCATGATGAGCAATTGTTTTGCAGGGCAGAAAAGAAAAAACACGAGACCTCACACATTGACCATCCTTTGCTTCAAACTCTGCATTTCAGAGGCTCAATTGCATGATCACGAAAGCCGTCCTGATCAACCGAGTAGGATCATGATTACAGAATCTTCTCCCACCGCCACACAAGACGTCACACCACACTTCACCACTCATTCACCACCTCATCATTACCACGTTCATCCCAGGCGGCTCCTCCCAGTCCGCTTGTCCAGAACAATCTCCAACGGCAAACAACACAGCTTTATTTTTCCAGCCATCAGCTCCCCGAAAATCTTTATTCGACTAACGGCAAATACGCCACCCGCTCCTGGAGAGACAATACCATTCCATTACCAGGCTACACTGCCTCCCTCCAGCCAACCGCTCCACACTACAGCCTCTCACCCGCCGCATGCCACTCCACACTCCAGCCTCTAACCCACTTGCTGCTCCTCTCCCGCTCGTGGATAATCTCGCCAGCCTCAGCTTCCGCAAAAACAGCATGAAAACAAGCAACTCGGCAGATTGGTTAACTCTTTGATCGACCGATCGGTTCAGCATGTTCCACACTCCAGCCTCTAACCCGCTTGCTGCTCCTCTCCCGCTCGTGAATAATCTCGCCAGCCTCAACTTCCGCAACAACAGCATGAAACAAGCAACTCGGCAGATTGGTTACTATTTGATCGACCGATCGGTTCGGCACTCGCACACCCAAATGAAAAACCTACATCCTGCATTGAATCGCAGGCAGTACCCGAGACAGGTGCAAGACCTTCACACCATCCGGAAAAGTGTCGAGTCCCCGAAACGTCCCTCTACTTGTTCCTGAAGCACAATTTTCCATTTCGTTGAACGGTTGAAGTAGGTGCTCAAAGGGCAGCAAGGCATCCGAACCGGCGGGAACGTCGCTTTTCAGTCTTCCTTTCCTACCGTCCTCCCAGCCCCCAACAGCGAGCTACCGCCGCCACAGACCACTTTATTAGTCCCAGACCTGAGAAAACCGTCAAATGGTACACACGCGTTAGACTTCCTTTCCATTCGGATGCCCCCCGGCCATCTGTCCACGTCGACCGTCCAATTGAGACCAACCAACCATCCTAATACACCTCGCCCCGATATATTTACACGCACTAAAGGGACAACCATTAAAAACAAAACACCATTAAAACAAAAAAAATCCAAATACCAGTGCTGCGCTCTCCACCAAGGATGATTCATTCGATAGCACTCAAATGACAATACCGTACAGTTAATCGATAAAAGGTCCCAATCCAGACCGCTGGATAGTCAGAAACTTGCATTCCTCAACGAAATAAAAGCCCGTTCCACAAGACATCACCGAGAAAGTAAATGGATAAAAGGTCCCAATCCAAAGAGCAGCGGACACTCAGAAACCTACATCGATGAGAAAAGTCGTTCCTCGAGCCTGTCGCACAGGTTGCCGACGACTATATAACCATCCCTGCAGCGACGAGCACAGACAACCGCTGCGCGACACCAAGCAAGCAATGCCGTCCGTTCTCCACCACCTTCCAGCTTTACGAGAAAAAGAAATCTCAACTACACAACGCTCGAAACGAGCATACGAAAGTCCCAGCATCAGCGAATTGAACTTGCGACCACATTGATAATCATGTCACAGTTCTTTCTTCAGACTGACATGACACCCAATAGGAGCTTACTTTTTATTATCGTCTATCCAACGCTTTGCGTCCTCGGACGCGCTTTGAAAAACTCTTCCTTTCAGTTACCCCCCTCCGCCATCTCCCGGCAACCACCGAAGAAAACCCCCTTGCTACACCTCCAAGCAGTTCTCACAGCAACAACCAAACCAAGCCCCTTCCATCACTGAGCTTCCGAACGAGCAAAACAGCGGAGAGCCTCAGCTACAGAAACACACCGGTCAGAGGACAGCAGACAACAATCCCCCAAGAAATTGTCATGAACAATGGCGGCTTCTGCGAATGGACTGAACCCTTATCAAAGACCCCGCTGTTCATCCACAACGGATCCGATGACGAATCACATCATCAAAGACCGAAAAACAGGAGACGTGATCACCTCACCCATTCCCCGCGTAATGATGCAGTATCCAACGACTTCCCCGTCGCTCTTCTCGATGACCTGAAGCACCCACCGCCCACGCCACAAAACAGAAGTCAAACTTCCAAAAACAAAAATATCTCGCACGGCCCTGCATAGTTACAAACATTGGGTCTCGCTCAACTCCCCACCACACGCACAAAAGACCAAACATTTGGCGGGTTATCTTCCACTTGTAGCGGAAGATTCATTCTCATTTTGCCCTTTAGCTGAGCAGTGGAGCGAGGCTCACTATCACACGCAACAGTGACCATGAAGGCTTCAAATCAGACAACCTACAAACCAGAAAAACCAAGTCGCCCACCGCTAACGATAACACCAACGATCAATAAATTGGAGCATCATGGACTCGCAGCTACATGACACCTATCACACACAACAACCATGAAGGCTTCAAATCAGAAGACCTACACACCAGAAAAAACGAGCAGCCCACCACTAACGATCACCAATGATCAACAAATTGGAGCATCATGGACTCGAAGCTACGTGACACCTGACCGATTGACTCCGGTATGGAAACAGAGAACTCTAACATAGCAATGAAATGAAAACCCAGCGCGTCCACAAATTCAGAAACGACGAACAGCGAGACGATAGACCTTACCACATGTGAACGAAAACAAACCCTGTCGTTCGGACGAGCTAACACATCGCTTTCCCAGGCAGTCACGCAATACAATAAGAGAACTAGTGCAACACGCAATACAATAAGACAACGATCTCTACCTCATCGAGCCAGGCACTGCTCTTCTGAGCATCTCCTTGAGCAAGGGCACCAGTCGCAACTCCATCCGCGTAAGAGCAATGACGTGTAATCACAGATACACTCGCAACTGTCCCCTCACCAGGCTCCATGCACTTTCCCGTGGTGGGAAGCACTATGTGGCAATACACCTGCTCATCAAAGAGCCGGACACAACAAATCATGCAATGAATCAACCAAACACTATTCAGCAACCCAATAAAATAACACAAACATCACATTTTCGAGCTGCATTACCGAACCACCAAACAAACAAATGCAGCGACGCTCACAACTCTCAGCAACTCTATCATAGCACAACCATCTCTGAGCATCACCACTGCGAACCTTTTCCATTGCTTGTCCAGAGTGCTTCCGCAGTCAGAAGAAAGGGGGGGGGGGAAGAAAAATATTATTTCCCACGCGCCTACTTCCACCGACGCGAAAAAATCCTCAAACCGGAGAAGCACGTTCAAACGCACAAGTACAAGCGGAGACGGAATGAACCGGGGATGCTGCTCAACGAATACGTACGTGCTTCTTAGGTGGTGCATTTTCTCCTGCCTTCTTGTAAGTTAACCAGACGTTCTCGTAATCACCGCTAGTGGCCATTGACATATCATTAATTCGGACATAACCCGCATACTTCTCGCCCTTAAGCTTCCCTCCTCCAGCCGTGGTAGAGTCGACATCCCTTTCAGTGGGGCTGGCGGGACCATTCACAGCATGGGGATGTTCTCCGTGACGAGCCTGGACGGCACACGACACCGACAGAGGGCTCGCTCCCATCTGAAGCGTGACCTTCGTCGGTTTGTTGCGACTTTGGTCGTTCTGCCGAGCGTGGTCCACCACATCCGGGATTGTCTTCGGATACGCAAGCGCTGCTAACCACGGCCTCGAAGAGTGAGAGCCGACGGTACGGATATCTCCACCCCAATCAACGTATCTGCGCGCCCATGACAACACCACAATTGCGTACGTAAGCCTCATTAACAGACCACAAATCATGTCGTACATACGAATTATTACATGCGCAAGGAGAATTGCACAATTCCGAAAAATAAAAGACCACGCTGAATTGCACATAACGTGACAAGCTCTCGGAAAAGTAAAGCCCTTCAAGAAAAACGACGAAACCCCGAATCAAAGCCCAAAAATCGCAGACCGTTAACATTTCCACCACGACAACATCGATGCCGAACCGGTTATATTCCATCACAACCTAACCCTAACACGCAGTCAGCACAGGAGTGCACTTACACGTTGTGATGCCCCAAGGCCTTCAACCTGTTGACGATGTGATCGACCGCCAGACCCTTCGCGATACCGCAAAGATCCAGCTGCATCCCTCTCACCGTCTTCGTGAGGGTAACCCCACCCTCCTGCGGATTCGCAACATTTCCGCCGAATTTCACCTTGTCGAAGCCTACAAGCCGCTTCAACCGCTGGATCTCCTCGTCAGACGGCTCCTCGCCCTGCACAGTGCAGACCAGATCAGACCGCAAACACGCAATGTCATAAGACGAACGAAAAACCATCCGACTGCACAAACTCTTCACACGACACGCACACACAACGAGTCTTTCTGCTCATACACTACACTTAAAAACAAACAAATCACGCACTTACTGCACGGAACATAGTTCCTGTATTTTCTCTGCTACCCGACACAGAGTCTACTCTGCGCTACTCAACACCTTCCAAACTAACGGGTCCACGATGGTGAAGACTCCTTCCCTGTGCACGTTAAAGCTAACGACAAGTACTGACGTGTTCCTGCTATGGACGCAACACACGCTCTCCCACAGAGCGCAGCAATACCCACGCGCCACACCCTTCACGGCATCGCTTTAGTTCCATCCGACTAGATTCAACCTAGACAGTCATCCTCGGCTGAGGAGACATTCGACAGACCCAAACCTCCACAGTGGTTGCAGACATGTCTCTCGGCCTTCACCTATACACAGTCACGACCCTGGGCGAAGACGCTGCAGCGTTGCTTCCCAACCGTAACCGCCCGCAGGTTGCTGTCGCCACCATACAGACGATCCAGAAAAAAACAGCGTTTGCAGTAAGTCTCTTATATCCGTTCTACTCGGACAACCAAACAACCTTACCATTAAAATCCGACGGTGTTCTGTGGTGGAAAACATCGCTGCACCATCCAGAAACCGTGGACAAACGATGATACAATATTAACACGGACGACACGCAAGCGCCTCCTGCTAGGCCACCGGACGACAGGCGGACTTAGATATAATGAGAGATGAAAAAGGAGTACAAAGAAGACAACTCAAAAAGGCGTGGCGGGTCACGTCATCATCGCATCAGAACAAAACCGATACGGGAATATACCAAGAAATCAACTTACAGTAGCTATGCAGAACCTCGCGCGACGACACGGGTCTCCTGTGCGTTTGCGCAAGCCACGGAGAGCTATGGCTTGAGAATTTCAGCGAGAGCTAGGACAGTCCAGGCTGCAAAGGAGAGAATGCACAGGATAAGCGGCAGACCGCACTACAACACACCCGACGAGGGCTTCGTCTACGTGAGAGCACATTCATCGTGTGTGCTTACTCTCATTAGACGGCAGCATTACTCGAGTTGAATTAGCGCCGCCTCCTCCAACTTACCTGTGACACCCTCAATTTCCATAGCTGAAGCAAAGGGCGGACCGTCGGGTCGTACAGACCGTCGCTCCACTGCACCGCGTGCTTCACAGGACCGAGCAAAAACATTCCCATCTCCTTCGACAGATCCACCGGCTGATTCACGTTCGCCCTATTGATTGCCGCGATATCCGAAGTCGGATTGTAGCAATTGTACCCCGAATCCACCACATTGAACCCCTCGTCTATGGCTTCCGTTATCTCCCGAATGTCTGCGTCCCCAAAACGCCATTCTGCAGCAACCCAAACTCTGTACACCATCGTCATCCGCACACCCTCGAAGAGATAATGACTCCTCGGGCGTACGATCGACGCAGTTGGAGTCGGGATCCTGTACGTCGAATGCATCTCGTGATCGGCCGTTTCAATCGACAATTTCTCCAGTGACGCCGCGGCGACCGCGGCACTCTCCACACCCCTGCTTCCTCCCGCCGGAAGTCCCTCCATAGCCACTTCCATAAACAATGTCAACCTCGGACCACCGCGTTCACCGCAACGTCTCCGCTCCCTTTCCCCTTTTCCAAATGAATGTACAAGAATCATTCATACGCCTGTTTTCTATGCTGTACAACACCAACTACCTCAAAAGGAGTGCATCGTCGAATGCATGTCTGGGATATCAAACGAAAGAACAGAACCGGCTACTCGGATGATTCGATTCCTATCAGACCGTAGAACTTCAGGCACTCTCCTGATCCTTCCAGCCTCCGCGAATACTCGCTGACTTTGTACCTCGCGCCTACACCGCCGACCCTCTTACTCCAATTCGTATTCAACTACAGCTCACTCTTCTTGGCCCCAACAAGCCGTGCGACACGAAAAGAAAACGCCTCCCCTGTACGGGGCAGGAAACCACCAATACTTGGCCCCAACAAGCCGTGCGACACAAAAAGAAACGCCTTGCCTGCATGGCACAGGAAACCAAAACTCGCTATTGAAACTTGACAGAAAACCCCATCGCTGGCTCGCACCCAAAAGACATTCGCCCCTGCCACATCGCCCGTCTCCTGTCGTCGATCCTCATCACTAGCGGCCTCCTCGACTTCCTCCCGCTCGCACTGCTTCCCCCGTGGTGCTGCGGCCGAACTATCTAAAAGCCAAAAATCATCAATTGCACAGGCCGCTTCGAGCTGTCGCTACCGTACGCCGCTTCCCACGAGGCAAAAGCCAGCGAAGCTCAAATCCCCTACGGCCCAATGGGCTTAGCTCACTTCGCTCACCTGTGAACTGTTGAAATACAGACCGATGTTCGAGTCCGCATGACGAACTGAATAAAATAATTAAACCACCAGTACCTCGCTCAGCTATCAGCCGTGGGCACTCCCGTATACGCGCCGCAACCCTAGGGGGGGCGGCCAAGGGAAGGCCCGGTCCCTGCGCGAAGGCCGGGCTCAGCTTCCCTAGGAACAACACACAGAGAGAAAAACAAAAAAAACGAAAGAAGGGGAAAAAAAACAAATACACAAAAGGAAAGATAAACAACGGACAAAATGTTGAAGTCGAGAGGGAGGGAGGGAGGGAGAGAGAGAGAGAGAGAGAGAGAGAGAGTCTCGTTTCAAAAAAACAAACGGGAATGAAGATGCATTCCCGTTTCTTTTCTCGAAATGAGCGGGCCAGAGAGAGAGAGAGAGAGAGAGAGAGAGAGGGG